ATCCTGTAAGTGATAAATAATATCAACACTACCATTTACAGGTTTTTAAAAGCTCAATGAATCCTGAATGGGATCTAGTCTTTTTCCATTGCTTTGAGGTAGTAGAGATTGAACCTAGGACCTCATGTATGCTAAGCAGGCAGTCTACCACTGACCTATATCCCTAGCCCAGGCTCTACCCTTATATGCACCATTGTAAAAATATAAAACACTAGCAACAATAGCAATTAAAACTTACCAGAGGGAGGAGGCTGGGGAGGTGGTTCAGTTGATAAAGTACCTGCCACACAAGCATGGGGACATGAGCTCAGACACCCAGCACCCGTATGAAAGCCTGGCATGATGGCACATGTTGGTGTGTACATGATGGTACAGCATTAGGGGTGGGGGAAGTGGACAGGAGGATGCCTAGAGCTCATTGGCTGGAAGCCTAGGTGAACCAATGAGCTCCAGGTCTAGTGGGAGATCTGGACTCAAAAAATAAGGTGAAGCTGGATGTGGTGGTGCACACCCTTAATCCAGCACTCAGACACTCATAGAGTTGAGGCAAAGGCAGGTGTTATTTCTGAATTTGAGGCCAGCCTGGTCTACATAATGAGTTCCAGGCCAGCTGTGGCTACAGGAAGACCCTGTCTCAAAAAGACCAAAAAAAAAAAAATATATATATATATACACTTTAAGATGTGCAGTGGTGGTCATAATAATATGAATTCCTATCACCTACTGAGCAAATACCATGTACAAGTGCCCGATAAATGCATTAGGTAAATCAATTCTTAAAATATACCTCTGAGATGGATATTTTATTATCCATAGTTTGCAAATGAAAAGATGAGATGAGCGATTTGGTGACTTAGAAGTGGAGGATTTGGAGTACAAAGGTTTGTCCAACTCTTACAAGTGAACCCAATTTCTATAGAAGAATTTCTGCATCCCTTTCCTTCCATGAAGAACTAGTCCTATTAGGACCTGTTTGTAGAGGTTTAAGAGATGTGGCTTTGCTGGAGGAAACACATCACTGGGGGTAGGCTTTGAGAGTTCTTAGCCTTGCCTCATTGTTTCCTGTGCCTGCTTGAAGATGTGGGCTCTCAGCTTTCTGCTGCAGCTTTGTCTGCCCCAATGCCTCCATCTATGATGGACTCTGATTCCTCTGGACCATAAGCCCAATAATCTCTTCCTTCTACAAGTTACCTCTGTCATGGTGTTTTATTACAGCAACAGAAAAGTAACTATTACACCTGTAATCTTCGAGTTCAGGAAGTGGAGGCAAGAGAACCAGGAGTTCAAGGTCATCCTCAGCTACACAGTGAGTTCGAAGCCAGCCTGGGCTATATAAGACCCTGTCTCCCATCCCCCTCCAAAGTATTTTTGATTCTGCTACACTTGCTGGATCTTTATTCACTTTCAGTTCTGCTTCAGATGACAAAATGGCTGAGTTGGTGCCTCTTAGCTTAGACCTTTTTGGTCCTTGTTAAGTCTTTTCAAGATACTTAAACATTTTTTATCATTTTATGGTGAATGAGGATGGCATATTAGTCTGCTTTTGACACTATAATGAAATAGCTAAAGTAAATAAAGGGAAAGAGCTTACTCTGGCTTACAGTTCAAGGTTCCAGTTCAAAATCAAGTGGTCTCATCACTTTGGGCCTCTGACAGGGACAAAATATCTTGGTAGGAGCTATAGTAGAGCAAACCCCTCACCTCATGAGTCACAAAGCAAAAAAAAGAAGAGGAAGAGGAAGACAAGCTAGGGTTCTATGATCCCCTTTGGGGGTAGGCCCCCAATAACCTACAAACTTCTATCAGATCTCACCTTTTAACAGTCCATAGTACTTCACAACAGCATCACTTTGGGGATCGAGCTAACTTTAACACATGGATCTGCGAGGCACACTCCACCAAACAAGAGCAGACAGTGTGTGCTTTGGGCATGGTTTGAGTGTGTCCCCTAAGAACCCTGATCCTTGGTGTGGTCATGTTGGAAAGTGGTGATACCTTTAAGAGGTGGGGTTTTGTGCAAGGTAACTAGATGATCAGGGGCTCTGCCCTTGGAAGTAACATGTGATTCATATGGAACTCCCAGTTAGTGAGAGTAGATTTCTACAGAAGTGCAAGGTTGGACCCTTCCTGTTCCTTGGCTTCCTGTCTTACCATGTGACATCTCACTTGTGTTTGTGTTCCCTCCATGCACCATTTACCACAATGTGATGGATGTAATATATCCAAGGGGGTCCTCATCAGAGCTGAGCAGAATTTGACACCAAGCTCTACCTCTAGATACAAGCTAAATAAATCTCTTTTCTTTACAAATGTTAACCTAGCTTCAGATGTTTTGTTATAGTACAGAAAACAGACTAATACAGATGGGTTATGCTGGAGGAAGGACCAACTGCTTCTGTGAGAGCCTTCAGCAGTCTTGTCTGGCAACTGTTCAACAGACAGTCAGGGCTAACCTTAACTGGGAAGGATTTTCACTCCTAGGGAACAAGTCCTAACATAACATCAACTATGGTGTTGTCACCATCTGTGGCTTATGGATAAAAGCACCCAGAGGCTTCTGAGAGTCTCAGGTTCTGCTGGGAACAAACTTGTCACAAACAGATAATTCCTCACGGTGGTCCAGACAAGACTGCCAGTCACTTACTCTTGTTTACATTGGTGTTGACAGGTTCTACACAGGTTGGTACGGAATCATGGGATCCATTGACTACATCTGGTCTCAACATTTGGTAAGTATTCTTGGGAAGAAGTTTCCCATCACAAAGGAAGAAACACAAATATTTGAAAACCAAACAAGTCATGGACTGCTCTCAGACCTACTGCCATATGCTCTGCTTTTTCCAGCTTACAGCTTAACCTTAAAACAACAGGCTTGCATTCCTCAAATATCTCCACTGCCGCCCCATTCCTTCTAGAGAAGGCTGTCAGCTGCTGGCACTTACAGGCACTGCCACATTAGCCACACTGTTCACTGCTTACTAGGTGGTGTGGCTATTAGCTTAGTAAGTGCCTCTCGGTGATGCCCTGAGCTCCTGAAGCAGGAACCGCATGCTGTAGTGTAGCATCTCATGAAGGCAGTGTGTGTGTACACATGCGTGGGCACATGTGTGTTGGAGGTGGGAATCACAGAAGGGCACTTTATAAATATTGATGAGAGAAACGGAGTTGAATTAGTCACATTGTATAATATCAGGATGGGTGAAGGACCAAATATTTTTAAAAGTAATTTAAGTACTTTAAGATTCCTCGGGGTTAAACATCTTCGGATAAAATCCAGAAATATATAGGTGTGGAAAAGTGTGTGAGATGTGTAAGAAGTACACATCTTAATTCATTCTTTCCAAACAGCTGAACCTACCAAAGAAATCTCTGGTTAGAGGTTTTCAGGATTATAACAAGAATTCTCTCAAAGGGGGAGAAGGGAAATGCTCTTTTTGCTTGAAGACAAAGAAATGTTTGTAATGGAAATGTGTAAACCAATTTTCCAAGGAGAGCTGCTGAAAAAGCACCAATTAAAAATACAGAGAGGGGCCGGGCGTGGTGGTGCACGCCTTTAATCCCAGCACTTGGGAGGCAGAGGCAGGTGGATCTCTATGAGTTCGAGGCCAGCCTGGGCTACATAGTGAGTTCGGTCAGCTGGCTACAGGGAGATGATAAAAAAAAAAAAAAAAAAAAAAAAAAAAAAAAAAAAATGCAGAGAGGGGATGAGGCAGCGAAATTAAGCCAAAGCTGACCCATTTATACACTGCTGCAGCACTTCTGAAAGCAAAGAGAGCCACCAGGGTCACCTTCCACACCCCCCACCCCATTACTGCCTCTGCAACCATACAGACAATCAGAATCTTCCAGCCTGCAGCAGTGTTTACTATTTCTGGCCACTGTGTACTGGTTACTAAGCTACCACTGAGGATAAAATGGTAACCCAGTAGCCCAAAAGACAATGTTCTCCATAAGGCCGAACGAACAGGGCATGGATTCAGTGGATTCCAAGCTCGTGGGCTCAATAAAAAAAGTGACTCAGAGGAAAGACGTGAAGATAAATAGGCAGGTTCAAGTCCATGGTAACTTGTAATGGTAATTCTTACAGTATGTACAAATATTGATTAACTTACTTAAGGAACTGTATTTCCCACAGATTAAAACCGCAGCTCAAAGCAGCAAAATATTTTTTTAATATATATTGCCACTAAATTTATTTATTTATTTATTATTTTTACTTTATGTGTATGAGTGTATTGCCTGCATGTAGGTGAGTGCACCTGTGTCATGCAATGCCATGGAGGTCAGAAGAGGGCTTTGGATTCCCCTGGAACTGGAATTAAGGACAATTTGTAGCCACCACGTGAGTGCTGGGAATCGAACCCATGTCCTCTGCAAGAGCAGACAGTGCTCTTAAACCGCTGAGCCATCCCTCCAGCCCCAGAAGCAAAATATTTTAATGACAGTTGCTCGAAACAGAATCATCATCCAGGGATAGTGACTGTCCTTGGGAATAAAGGACCAACAGGCTGCAAAGCAATGCTTCCCAAATTCTAGTCACTGAAGGTTGGCAGAAATTTTGTCATGTATGTTGGTATTAATATTTACTGAATTTTTTTTCTTGAAATTGACTACATATTCCCAGCTTCCCCTGAACAGTAACTCTTATGAAATCATACTGTGATATACATTGTTTTTCTAGTGCAGATTTAAAAATGCATCAGTATTAAAATACTCATCCATGATCTTGGTACAATCCTCCTGTGTTCTCCAAGGGCATGCAGCAGGAAAGAACAGAGGAGGTACTGAACCTATGCGACAATGACCTGCCACTGTGTGTGATGGCTAGTGAACTGAGCTGCTTTTTAAGTACTGGGGGAAAACAACACAAGAGTAATGGAGAGTCTGTGTTATTTGCCCCCAGGATGTCCATGAAAGTCTTACACTCAACAGAAGGAAGAGGGGCAGAAGGACATTCAGTGACTTTGGAGAAGGGGCAAACCAATGCTAGAATCACTTACATAAAATTCTCTGGGTATTCACTCAGGGCCATGTCGATGATGTTGAGAGCATCATGGTAATGCTTCTGTGCTGACAGTAAGAGGGCGAGGAGGTGCAGGGAGTTGGCATCGTCTCCTTGAAGCTGAAGAGCTTGGCGGACGTACCCTAGAGCTTCTGGTATCTAGTTTAAAACCGAATGAAAGAATGTTTAAACAAACACACACACACACACACACACACACACACACACAGAGTCACACAGGAAGAGGTTACCACTACAACATCAGGTTTGCTGCAAGCTGATTCACATTGGGCCACCTCCATATTTTAAGGGGTCTTCATGGCAGCCCCAGGATACTGACCAAACAAAGAAACATGCCTTCTTCAGCAGTAGTTGACTGTTGAGGGTATAGAAGAGACCTTTTTTTTCTATAAAACTGCTAAAACCACACCTTTTACTTCTCCCTAAATACATACTTTCTCATTTTTTACCCCACTGAACTGATGTACTGTTGATTCAGTCTAAGATGATTTCATTGAAAATAGAGACACAGACAACTGCCAAAAGTTCTTAAGGGAATTAAACTGCCTTGAATGAACTATTCTCTTTTATAGTATTAGTGAAATCCAAGTATGTCATAAGCCATAAAACCTTTAACAGACCTTTCCAAATCCCAGAGGTCTGGCTCTCTACAATACATGAAAGAACCATGCAAACAGACAGAACCTTACAGCTTTCCTCCAAACTACAGCCCCAACTAACTGGACGCAAGAAACAAATCACAGTGCCCCATGCAAAGAAGATGTATCCAAATTGACGAGGGACCAGATACAACCTCAACCTTGAAATGTAACAGCTGTTCAACATGTACCTGTGTGTGGTGTATGTGTGTGTGCAGATGTGCTCACCTATGTATGCACGTGTGGAGGCCAGGGGTCTGGCTCTCTCCACTTTAATTTTTTGAGGCAGTCTTCACCGAACCTAGAGCTCCCTGTTTTCAGTTAGACTGGCTGGCAAGTGAACTTCCAGGATCTGCCTGTTTCTGTCCCCAAGTGCTAGGTTACAGTGTACTACTGGGTCAAGCTTTTACATGGGTGCTGGAAATCCAAATTCAGGTTATTTATCCATTGAACCATCTCCTCAACCCCTAAAGGTGTTCTTTAAAAGCACCACACTGGAGTTTGGTAAAGAACATGCATGGTCTCTATTTGAATACCCTAGATTGTATGAAGGTCTAATAGAAATAAGAATTTGGCTAGGCTACAGTGTACTACTGGGTCAAGCTTTTACATGGGTGCTGGAAATCCAAATTCAGGTTATTTATCCATTGAACCATCTCCTCAACCCCTAAAGGTGTTCTTTAAAAGCACCACACTGGAGTTTGGTAAAGAACATGCATGGTCTCTATTTGAATACCCTAGATTGTATGAAGGTCTAATAGAAATAAGAATTTGGCTAGGCGTGGTGGTGCACACCTGTAGTCCCAGCACTTGGGAGGCAGAGGCAGATGGATCTTTGTGAGTTCAAGGCCAGCCTGGTCTACACAGTGATATGTTGCTAAGAGGCCCAAGGACATTGTGAGTTAAAAAAAAAAAAAAAAAAAAAAAAAGAAAGAAGAATTTGAAGCAGGATTAAATAGTGCTGGGAACCTTAGCAATCTGATATACTTGCCCAAGGAACTCTTTCCTGTCTGGCCTCCAACTCCAGCCCTGAGCTTTCCAGCTTTCCCTCTAAATCCTCAGTAACCTCAGCCCTTAGAAGAATCCTGAATTCTTTTTCCCAAGCCTATTGGATTTGAATGCCACATGGATCTACATCTGAATTGCTGGCTCTGGAGTCTTTCTTCCTGGAATCCTGGGGTCATGGCTGCCAGAGATGGAAGGGAAGTCAGCAGCTCACATGCTTCTTTGGCAGGGAGGAAGCTGAAGGATAGAGAACTGAACTGACTTGAGCAGATCACCCAGCTGAATGAGGGAGAAGAGGACGACTCTAGTCTTCTGATCCCTCTCAACCCTCTCCTGGTCTAAGGGTGGGCATTGGCTCTAAAGAAGGGAGGGTCACAACTTCTCTGTCTCAGTCAGTAGGGACATACTCACTGAGAGCCCTGGTATTTTGACACCACAGGTCTCCAAGCCTATGGGTGGACTGCACCCACAAGGCTCCATCTACTTCTCTCCTCCCTGCAGCAATCAGCTGCTGTGTTGCCAGCACTCAGCCTGCTGCTGTGGGGAGGAGCAAAGGCAGTCATTTTCAGGGTACTGTTTACAGGTCAGCAACCAGGGACAGAGACCTCCAAATGAGGTCCCTTAAGGGGATTCAAAGTTGGCTCTTTGATTCAACAAGTCTTATGCCAAACACATATGAGGCAGTATGCTAAGTGCCAGGCCAAGGCCATGACAATGACAGGCACAGGTTCCTGCCCTCCTACACCTCCAGTGAAAAAGACTGAGACTGCACAAGAAGGTAGCTTCATGAAGAGGTGAAGGGGAAAGCAGATGGTCAGTGGTCAGTCCACATCTGCTGCTATAGCAGCTCCTGGCGGATCTAGCTGTGAGCCACACCTCACCAGATGAGAGGACCTTTCCAGGGCAGGTATCTTGGCTTCCTCTGTCCCCAGGTTGCCATTGAGAGGCATTTCTCAATATCATTCCCATGCAACTGAGAAGGGTAATGCATGCCTCAGTCCAGCCTGTGAGGAATGGTGTATCTGGGGAGCCAAGCTTGGATTCACCTTCAAAGTCAGCACTCGGGAATGTGCTAGGGTCACCACTAGTATCTTGTACTTGGTGGGCTGGCAGGCACATGGCTGCAGTTTCCACAACTGCTGGAAGGGATGGAGGTGGGAAAGTAGAATGTGAAAAAGCAGCTCAAACTGTCATTGGGAAGATGAGAGCTGCAATGCTTTCCTTTCTAACAAAACCAGTTGACTGTGAGTGTTCATATTATCTATGCATTTTAAAGGACCTGGTATCTCTTGTTGCCACATCCTGGCATTTTCCTGTCAATCATGGATACCTTTGTGACAACCAGGCCCCAACCAGTGACTAAATCTTTACCATGAAGTTCAGCACTGGGCTCCACTACCCCATTCCTGTTAGTATGAGGTAAAGATTCTTTCGGTGACCCTGGGGTCAGTGTACGAGACCTGTCCTACACTCATGTTGCCACCTGACCCTAGGCTGGACCCTCCAGATTTGTGTATTTACTCTTAAGAGCAGAGCCCAGGTCTCCTACAGTTTCATAGCAGATGCTCAAACCAACCCAAACTGCAAGGTCTTTTCTGGGAAGAATTGACCTCCTTTGAGAGCAGTTACTGACTCCAAGTCAGCATCAGGTGAAGGAAGGAAGGTTTTACACTGCCTCCAGCTGCAGGAACTGGAAGGGAACAGAGTGTACACCAAGTCTGGGGAACATTAAAGACACTCACCTGTCTGGAGATGGCAAGCTGGAGGGCCAGGTAGAAAGCTGCTTGGTGATCTGTAGGTGACAGACTGTGGGCCCTGAAAAGCATTCAAGGCCATTAACACATTAGGCCGCTTTTGCTTGCCCTATCACAGTCTTCTTCGGGTATCATTTTCATGCCATGGCCACATTTTCAGTTCAACTGTATACCATTTCATTAACTCTTCCCCCTGCACCACAAATGAAGGTTAGACATTCTTCCTTTGACTACTATATACAGGTCTACCCCAGGAGCATATTTTTTGGCTTTTGTCTAGTACCTAACATAGTAACTGGTGTGTCAGACTCTGTGATCTGGCTCCCCAGAAGATGCTTCCTCTGAGCTGAACAGGTGAGGCTCATTGTCACACACTGTCATGGTAAAGTCATGTGTGCCCTTGGTCAGGCGATGGCTGCTTTGGTTAACTTTGGCTTGTGCTTAATGCTACTTCATCCAAATTTCTGGATTTCAGAGAAATCATATGAAAATCAAAGACCTAGCTTTGCTTATAAAATGATGTTTAAGGGTTTTTGGGTTTTTTGTTTTGTGTATGTGTATGTGTGTGTGTGCATGTGTGTATGAATCAGAAGGGGAGAAGAAAAACACCCATTCAGTCCTTTGAAGAGTCTACTACATTCCATGTAATTTACTGATTGTGTTCATATAGCCACACTATATAAGACACTAGGCTTGGTTCCATTAACTGGCCCTTGACACCAGATGTAAGAGGCTCTTCTGGCTGCCTAATAGACTGCAAATATGGTCCTTTTGGCCTTCATGTAGAAGTTAATTGTATTTCACCATGAGCAAATCAAAATGTGACAATGTACAGGATCTATTTCTGTTTTTAACAGTCTGGTAGGAAGAGAAAAAATAAACTCACTTTCCTTAAAAGGGACCATGGAGCAGACTAATTACAAATGGTGGGTTCCAGATAGCTAGCAACCATCACACTGCTTTGACAGCACTCTGTGATCAAAGGGGGCTCCCCTACCAGCAGAAAGCAAATGCAAGATAAAACGGAAAGCTAAATCATCATGGACTCATCTGTGGCCAATGTGCCAAGGCTTCCTATAGAAATGAGGTCTAGTCAACCATTCGTCCTCCATGGGAAAGGAGTAAACAGGACTTCTATGCATGGGAACCCAGAAAACACACCAAGTCCACGACCCTGGAGACACTGTTTGGGCAAATGAGGTATTGTGTACAGGACTGGGGTTGCCCTTTCATTGATCTTTTTATTTTGCTTTCTAAAAATTTGGAGATGGACAGATGGTTCAGCAGTTAAGAGTGCTTCCAGTTCTTCCAGAGGACATGAGTTCAGTTCCCAGCACCCATGTTAGGCAGTTCATAACCACCTATAACTACAGCTCCAGGGGTTCTGATGCAGCCCTTCTGGCCTCCACAGGCATACCAACATACATGATATACATTGACACGAAAATATACACATAAGTGAAAACTTAAAAACTGTAACTTCTTTTTTTAAGTTTTCACTTATGTGTATGTTGTTGTATCACTGGGGCTGGAGAGATGGCTCAGAGGTTAAGAACACTGGTTGTTCTTGCAGAAGACCTGGGTCCGAATCTCAGCACCCACATGGCAGCTAACAACTTCCGTAACTCCAGTTCCAGGGGATCTGATGGCCTCTTCTGTCCTCCGTGGGCATTGCACGACATGGGTACACTTACCTACATGCAAGCAATACACACACATAAAATTTTTAAAAAATTGTAATTATTTGTGTATGTGGTGTACATATGTATGTAAGCTTACCTGTGAGTGCACATGTAGAAAAATTGTAATTATTTGTGTGTGTGATGTGGGCACGTATGTCAGCTTGTGTGTGAATGCACACATGGAAGCCAGAGGCCAACATTGGCATCTGTGCTATTGCTCTCCACATTATGGTTCTTGAAGTAGGGTCTCTCACTGAACCTAGAGCTCACAGCTTTAGCTAGACTGGCTGACCAGCAAGCCCCAGGGATCCACGTTTCTCTGCCCCCTCAGTGCTGGGATTACAGGTGCAAACCACTACATCTGGCTTTTATGTGGGTGTCAGGGATTAAACTCAGGTCCTCATGCCTGTACAGCAAACACTTTACCCACTAGGTCATCTCCGTAGGCTTCCTTCTGGTAATCTAAGAGCAAAGCAAATTCATTCCTGGGGAATCCTTACTAGCAACCCAGCTAACAAGTCCCAGCCTTCGGAGATGAAGGCTGAGAACTCATCTGTGTGGACTTCACAATGCCTCATTTCTACAAGAGGACACTTTGTACACTCCAGCTTTGATGATTTACAAATACTGGTCTTCCATGCATTAGTACATGAAAGGATTTTTCTTTGGTGTTCACAAGATTAAAATGTCATTGTTTCTGTGTCTCCCAATTATTCAGGGAAAATGAGTATAAAATAAAATTATGAAGAAACTTTGACTTATATAGAATTATTTAATCTTATCTTCTTTCAAAAATAATAAAGTCAGGTTTATAGCCATCAAAAAATTTGTCAGAGCTATAATTTTCTCAGCCTGGTTCATATTTTAACAAATGCAGTTAAATCATGGTTGTCCCTATGCAACACTGAGTAAAAAGCTGAGTGACTTGGTGAATTCAGTGTGGATGGTGACAGTTATAGCCAAAGGCCTGTCCTGGTCTCATCAAAGGATTGTGAACCACCACAGCTCTGTGGAAAAAGCCAAAGAGAAGTGTTAACAATCTTGGCATATCCAGGGAGCAGTAAGATGACATCTAAAGAATTTCCAGGGGTTGGAGAGATGGCTCAGCAGTTAAGAACACTGATTGTTCTTGCAGAAGACCCAGGTTCAAAGCCCAGCACCTACATGGCAGCTAACAACTGTCTGTACCTCCAGTTCCAGGGGATCCGATGGCCTCTTCTATCCTCGCGGGCACTACACAACACGAGTGCCTACATGCAGGCAATACTGAGTTCAATACTGGATACCTGTATTAATTCAACTGTGAACCTAGAAACTTACAGCCACTTGTGAAAGAGATGTACTCTTGCTCTGGAGCATGTTACTGAATATGTTAAAGCTGTAATGAAATGGTTTTTCTAATCATGTAGTTATTAAATTTTTTTTTTAATTTACTTCATGTTTAATAGTAGAGGTGATAAACATTACCAGTGAAATCTACCTGATGACTTTATATCCATACTCAGATACTAAGGATCCGAGTGTAATGACTGTGACTAGTAATAATCAGATACATAGAGAATAAAGACACATGTGCAAACATGTGTTAGTAGCATTAAAAATGTAGGAAACAGCAAATTTTGAAATGGATATCTTCTTTGAAGGGTAAAAACTACATGATTAG